AAAAAAAAAAAAAACGGTAGTGCACAGCATTCTGGTCCCTTGCTGCTCCTGTCCCCCCCTTCCCCCCTCAGCCCCACATTAGGGGTGTCTAATAGCCAATATAGTTGTCGCATAGCACCCAGCAATATTGGCCAAGGTCCTGCCAATGCTGGCAGGATTTCCCTTTTGTTGCGTTTTCGAACACAAGTAGAGAGTGATGATGCGGGCCAAAGTGTTGCAGAAGTGAGGGCATGCTCACACTAGCACACATTTTCATAAAATGGTAAATTGTAGGTGATTTCTTGGGTCACAAGGGCTACGTATTTTGTGTTTTCACACAAATGGGCAGGTAAATGTCAGTGGCTTGGACAGCCGCGGGTTAAACCACCAGAACTTCCTAAAGTCGGGCTTCCTAAAGTGGTGCTTCCTTAAGTCGTGCCCCTTAACAAACGCACAGCCACTACAGGTGTGCCCAAATTCATCCAACTAGAAACGTTTTTACTCTTATCTTTTTCCATGTTTGTATTTTTTTTATGACTATTCTATATCTATCTATAGATTTAATTATTATAATTCATAATTTTAAGAAAATCGTTTTTTTTATTATATGAATATAAGTATTAAGTATATAAAAATACGGATAGCTGGGCCAAGTACTGGTGGTTTAAGTATTTTGCCAGAAACTCTGGAGGTCCCAAGTACTGGTGGTTTAAGTATTTTGCCAGAAACTCTGGAGGTCCCCGCAATTGCGTATTTCTTTCAGACTTGTTTCTTTCTGGAAACAAAAAAAAGGAATTCCACGTTTGGTGGCCAGCTCTCGGAAGAATAAAAAAGAAAAGAAACAGGAAAAAGGGATGGACTTTTATGCACCGTACTGTGTGACCCCTCGGCATTCCTAGAGCAGGTCGAGACTGTGTCCTTCTTGTTTTATGACGTGCACGGGCGATTATGCCTAGAGCAGGTAGAGACTGTGTCCTTTCTGTTTTGTGAGGTATACGGGTGTGCTGTGTGACTGGGAAGTGCCGTACAATCACAAATTGGCTCACATATAATTTGCAATTGTACGTGCTAGTTTGAGTATGCCCTTTTTTTTTTCCTGCGGCCGGTAGCTGGGCCAAGTACTGGTGGTTTTAAGTATTTTGCCAGAAACTCTGGAGGTCCCCGCAATTGCGTATTTCTTTCAGACTTGTTTCTTTCTGGAAACAAAAAAAAAGAATTCCACGTTTGGTAGCCAGGGGCCTCGACCCACTAGCGAAGTGTTACGATTCGCGGCTGGGCTTTCGACCACATGCGGCCTGGGGTGACTCACGGCAGCCGCCGATCGCCGTCCAGATCGACTGCGCTCATGTTTTGGAGTCGGGGAAGGCCGTCGTAGTGGCACCCGGCCAGTAGGATGTTTTAAAAATGTTTTGTGCCTTATTTTGTTGGCCAGATTCCGTTGGCGCGAAGCTTCAAAAACACTGTTTCTTTACCCATGGGGTGATTTTGAAGCTTCGCGCCGACAAAAGTTGTCGTCGCATAAATAAGGAAAACGTCGGAAAAGGATTCCTTCCGCCGTCTTTTTCGCGCAGTGCCCACGAAAGATGGCGCGAACAATTGTGTCAGTGTTGTGTTCTGGGTTGGTGGCACGCAGTCCGAAATTGTGTCAACGTTCCGACCACTACACTTGAACGAGGTCTAGCACTCTGTCTATGTGAACCCGCAGAACATGATTCTTTCTCAACGGAGTCGTTCCCTGATTCTCCAGATTGGGTAAGTGGGTATGTGGAAACGCTAGGGACTTGTCTTTTTCCCCATACGAGCACGTCGGGTGTCGCTCCGGTACACGCCGCAGTGAATGCATTTTGACGCTTTATTGAGAAAATGCATTCGGACGATTCCAAGAACGTGATTGTGTAACAAAGAAGTGAGCGCCGTCGTCCGCCATGACACGGCCGCATTCGGATTCGATTGCCAACCCTCAACCCACCCCCCCCCCCCCCCCCCCCCCCCCCCCCCTCCCCCCCGCTATGTGCACCCGCAGCCAACCCTCAATGCCAGTACGGTGACTACCTTGGTCGCCAAAAACCATACGGCGACGGCATTCGACCCACTACCCCGAAACAAGTATAAGCCGTGGGCTCATCAACCGCTAAGGTGTTTCGCCAGTGTATTGGCGGCGCCTCAGCTGGACGCTGCACTTACTCGAAATGGAAAGGGATGACGAATGTGGACTGGGACGTTTCCACTCGACTGGTGCCGCTGCACTTACATACAAACCTAACACACGGGCGCACATGCCCACAATGTCCTCCCCAATTCATCCGTGGCGGCAGCCAGCGGGGCCACATGCGTTCCATCGTTTTGCGTCCGCTGTCATAATGACGGATGGCAGACAGAATTGGCGGTTACTTTCTTTCAATTTTTTTGATGTTCGTAGCCAAAAAAAAATTTGGAAGAAAACATTTTCTTGCCATTTTTTAAAGCTTTTTTGCCACACACCGATTTACGCTTCTCTCTCAGAAGGAAAAAAAAGAAAAAAAAACAGGAAAAAGGGATGGACTTTTATGCATCGTACTGTGTGACCCCTCGGCATTCCTAGAGCAGGTTGAGACTGTGTCCTTTCTGTTTTGTGACGTGTACGGGCGATTATGCCTAGAGCAGGTAGAGACTGTGTCCTTTCTGTTTTGTGACGTATACGGGTGTGCTGTGTGACTGGGAAATGCCGTACAATCGCAAATTGGCTGACATATAATTTGCAATTGTACGTGCTAGTTTGAGTATGCCCTTTTTTTTTTTTTTTTTTTTTTTTTGAACAATGCCCCGCCAGTGTTAGTGGTGCTGATAAGAGCAGACGCCACTAACACCTTGGGAGAGGCTCCATCTATTGGTGGGGAGCATCACCTGCTGGAAAATGGGTCCAGTGTCCCATATACAAAATGAGATTTGGAGTATAGCAAAAGAGGATTGTATGAGGTTCCTGCCAGCATTGATTACACTGGGATCCAGGGGATTGACTGAGCAGGCTATTGGAGAGAGGGGGGGAACCTCTTCGCCCTGAAACCGGCGCCAGATCCCTGCTGCTACACACTAGTTCCTCCCTCGCCCTACCTACGAGTACCTTGACCCTCGTCCCGTATACAGAATGAAACAAGGAGATACGAGGACAAAGGGTCGAGAAAAAGTTGAGAAAGAACCTGCCAGCGTTGATTACTCTGGTGACTAGAGGGTTGTCTGTGCTGGTTGCTGAGAGATGGGCACCAAAACACCTGCTGCTGAGAAGATACAACTACCAGCCTGCCAGCCTGCCAGCCGCCGTCCTTCAGTCGTACAACACAACAACCAGCCTGCCAGCATTGATTACCTTGATTACCAGCCTGGGGATTAACTGAGCAGGTGATGTATCCTGTGGATGAGTAAGTATCTGATAGGCATTGCCCGGGGGGCACCGGGAAAGTTCTGTTTTTGTCATGTTTTCAAAATACAAGTACAGAGCTATCGTGTGGGCCAAAGTGCTGGTGGGAAGTCCTGTTTTGTCATGTCCTCTGGTACAAGTACAGAGAGAGGAGGGAAATATACAGATACCGGCCACCGTCTCCCTCATCTTCGAATAGAAGTACACAAGGAGCAGGGAGAGCGGGGCCCGGTGTTCTTGCAGGTTTTGAGTCTGCGTCTCAGGTCGGTCACCCCACTTATCATGATGGAATGCAAGTACATAGGGAGCCCGTTCGGACGAACATCGGTTCCAGGGTATTTTCTGGGGGGTGTCAGGGAAGAGATTCATAGCTTTCCACCTCCCAGCCCACTTATCAGTGTCCCGCAACCCACATAGGGCCTCGCCATACTACTCCTGACTTGGCCATTTTCGGGAGTGCAGCTCGCCACATCAGCTCCCGAGTTCAACCTGTCAGATTGAAGTCGGGAGCGCCCCAGGTTTGATGGGTGTGATGGTATGAGCAAACACACCTAGCAACGCCTGCAATTGGCTCCGATATATTGGTGGGGAGCTTCACCTGCTGGAAATGGGGTCCAGCGTCCCTTACAATGTGACAGGATCTGATCGCTTCAGCGTCCTGCCTGTAAAAGGCCATTTTTGGGAGACCTCTTGTGGAGGACTGTGTTTCGACCGGAGAACTCGTGCGCAGACAAGCATTCTCCACACAGTTTTTGTCGCCAAGTGTGCCTCCTGGCCTCCAAATCGGAGAGCGCCCCAAGTCGGGAGTGCAATGTGGCGAAGCGCACTCCCGAATGGATTTTCGCGACTTCTGACGTTCGGGAGTACTCGCAAATTTTTTTCTCCGAGTAGGGAGCAGTGTGGCAAGGTCCATAGGACTGCCTGGCTGCGGGGAGGACGAACTTGTAACTGATGTTGACCATGGTTTTTTTGGGGGGGGATTGAGGATATTCCGGTTTTTTAAATGAATGGTAAGAAAACAATAAAATAATAATAATAATAATAATGCAATGTTAACAAAAATCCGGGCCGCGCAGGTATTGTGACAAATAAACACATTTTCCGGAGAAGCCCAGCCTGGTCCGTGCAGGTATTGTGCCAAATAAACACATTTTTGTAGCAGCCCAGCCTTTTTCGACATGAGTATGTGCAGATTTACTGGTGGGTACCTTCTTTTGCACAGAGGCCCTGTTGGCCTGGCCTTCGGCAAGCACTACAAGGCCCACGGGTCCTCTGTTGCAAAAGGAGGTAACGTCGCAGACAGTTAAATCTGCTTAGATTCATGTCAAAAAGGGCTTAAGACTGCTCTGAGACATGTTTCTTTGTTACAATACCGGTAATTTTTTCTCTTTTCTTTTTTTCTCTTTTCTTTTTTTAAACCACCAGTACTTGGCCCAGCTATCGATGCCGAGCCTGGAATGCCCCTGCGCGCCCATTTTCGCCGAAGCGCCGGGGTACCGTTTCAAAAAAAAATTCGCTGGCGCTTCCAGCCATTGTGGTCCGGTACCCCGAAGCCCTAAAGACGCGGCACGTATACGGGAAAGCGCCGCGGCCGATAGCTGGGCCACGTACTGGTGGTTTAAGCTGCCTTCTGCTCATTGGTGAGAATATATATATATATATATCGTGGATGTTTTGCTGGCTTGTGATGGGGTGTGAACCGACAGTCTGTAGAGTTTTCCATCTGGTGTGGGTGAGTGATAGTCTACTTTGATTTTGGTTAAGGTAGATTATCATTTACAGTGTAATCAGT